CTCCTCCCCGCGCCGCCTTCCCCCCCGCCGGCGGCTCCACACCTCTTCCCCAGCTGCCTTTGCCCTGAGGTTTTCTTTCTCTCGCTTTCTTTTCTTCCGGTCGTCGCTGCTTGGCCCCGCGCCACGTCCAGCTTTCTGGTGGTTAAGTGGGCGTCAGAGCCTCACGGAGTTTCCTGCCTGGGCTCACTTGTGGTCCTCCGATGTCAGCCTCTTGTGTGAGGATTCCCTCCATGCCCACACTTACGGGTCTCCCCGTCAGCCGGCTCTGGTGGCTCACCCGTCTTCGCAGCTACTCCAGAAGCTGAGATCTGAGGATCACGGTTCAAAGCCAGCCCGGGCAGGAAAGTCCATGAGACCCTTAACTCCAGTGAACCACTAGAAAGTGGTGCTGTAGCTCAAAGTGGTAGAGTTCTATCCTCAAGAAGAGCTCAGGGACAGTGCCTAGGCCAGAGTTCAAGCCCTACAACTGGCACAAAATAAAGTTCCTCTGTGGTTGCTTTATCCAAGACCTTCCTCCCAAAGCCGGGGCTATCACAGCTCTCATTTCTGTTCCTGCTGGCTGGTCTGGTTAGCACAAGATACAGAAGCAATATCGCCAGGGCTCTGGCCCTCACCCTCGAGCTGGTGAAGCCAGAGAACACTCATTTTCAGTCTGGGGTTTTCACTCTGCAAAGGGGGTGGTGTCAGCCCGGGGCAGCAGGTGGGGCAGCACCTTGATGAGGCTGAGCTCTGCTCCAGGTCCAGATGTGGGAGGAAGGAGCTGAAGGGGAACAAGAGAAACTGACATCACTAGCTCTAGATGAGTCTGAGCAGGAGGTCAGGCCAGGCCCTGAGGAGCCAACAACCAGTCTGCTGCTCCAGCCAATGAGTGGAGGCCTGGAATTGTTATTGGCTGTGCTTTGGCCTGCACAGCCTTGAGCAGGGTTCTCCAGCAGCGAAACCCAGCTGGATCATCGAGGCCCTGGGCCTTCCTAGTGACTGGCCTTCTAGAAGCCTACCTCAGATATCAGTCTGGGGAGTCTGGCATGTGGGGGGGGGGTCCCCACAGGGCCCTTCCCGTCCCAGAACAGGAAGCTCAAGGTCAGCTCCAGGTTGCCACCCCAACCATACTAGAGAAGAGAGCATACAGGGTAGGTCAGGGAAGCCCAGAACTTAGAGATACAGCAGCCACAGACACCAGGCGGAGATGGGCAGCCAAACACTACAGAATTCACAAGAATCAACTGCATCTCTGTATTATAGCAAGGGGGTGGACAGATGGGGTTCTGAGCTGGGATCCCCTTTCCATACCCACAGAAGGATTGGTGGGCAGGGAGGGTAAATCAGGGGTCCCCAGAAAGTCTGGTGGCCAGATGGGGGGAGGGGCGCCAAGTTCCAGAAGGACTAAGAAAGTCCCAGGGAAGCCAGTCCTCCACTCTGTCGGGTTGGCGGGTCTAGAGTGTACAGAAGGGGCCTGTGTCATGGCGCTTGGGTCTACGCACGCCCTGTATGACCACGCCCGGAGTAGAGGGGAAGCGGGAGTTGTAGCAGTCTTCCACATAGTAAGTAGCAGGGCCAGGAGTCGGGGCTGCAAAGAGAAAGGGCTAGGAGTCGGGGCTGCAAAGAGAAAGGGCTAGGATCCCACCCTGGCCTGCCCCATCCACCTGCCTCCCCCCCCCCCCCCGGCTCCCCAGGCCTCCTTACAGAAGCTGATCCAGGAGGTACTCCCTGGTGAGCGGCTCATGGAGAAGGCTGGTGAGCGCTGGCTCTGCAGGCGGAACCCCGGAAGGATATTGTAGGTGTTGGGGCTAGGGCGCTTCTCCCCAGGGGGCTGTGGAGGGTCCTGGAGGGGGGGGTGGGCACGAGGACGCCTGCCCCGCGTCCACCCAGGACGGGTCGGGTTCTCAGGCGCCTTGGCAGCAGAGACTCCAAAGCTGAAGGCGGGGAAGGCAGGCCAGGTGACCGGCAGGTACTGGGCAGGTGATGGCCACTGAGGAAGTAGAGGGGGTATTGCATTACGCTGCTCACCCAGTGCCAGAACACACACACACACACACACACACATCCCCACAAGACATCAGGCCCTGTTCTTCCCTCCCTTCTACACCTGACCCCTCCCCTGCTCTGTGGCCCCTTCCCCACCCCCTTGTCTGGCCCCTACCTTTTGCTCTCTGTTGAAGTCAACCTTCTGAGTGAAAGGGCTTTCACTCTGGAGCCAGGAGGTTTGCCACGCTCTGCGGCCGCCGCCCTCTGTGGCAAACGGGGAGGGTGTGGGAGGGGTCCCCCACCCCCCCCACCCCGGAGGGGGCAAGCCAGGGGCCTGGGAAGGGGACACACACCTCGGCTGGGGTACTTGAGGCCGAAGGTGTAGTGGGGGTGCGGGGAGGACTCGCGCACAGAAGCATCTGGAACTTCGTACTTGGTGGGGCCAGGGATGTCCAGATCGATCAGGATGGGCGGGCGTTGCTCCAGCACTGACACCAGGAAGCGAGCATGGGACCCAGGCTCCTCTGGGCAGGCCGCTCCCCACTGTCCCTCCCCAGAGTGGCCAGGACCCCCACTCACACAGCTCCTTCAGGGCCCCAGAATAGGCAGACCAGCACTCCTCAGGGGGGCACACTTGGTACTTGGGCAGGGTCCTAGTGCAGACGGGGTGGCACTCCTGGATTGGACACACCGGGAGCTTGGGGCCGACCGGGGCCCTCCGGGCCTTCTTGGTCTTCGGAAGCAACATCGCAGGCTTGTCCTGGTCCCTGTCCCACCACAGCACCGCAGCTTCCGGCCTGCAAGAGGCAGAAGCCAGGGCTGGGAAGGTGGCATGCATGCATGAGGCCCTGGGTTCGATTCCTCAGCACCACATAAGCAGAAAAAAAGGCCGGAAGTGGCGCTGTGGCTCAAGTGGTAGAGCGCTCGCCTTGAGCTGAAGAGCTGAGGGACAGTGCCCAGGCCCAGAGTTCAGGCCCCACGACCGGACCCCCAAAAAACAAACAAAAAAAAAGAGGCAGAAGCCAAAGCTCACCCGGCCCACCAGCCCCTGCGACCGACCCCGCCCACCTGCGTTGCCCTCTGGAATTACTCTGAGGAAGGAGGGGGGATCTGCCTCAGGGGACCATGGGTCCAGTGTTTGCCATCATTGATGTAAAAATTAGCCAAAAACTTCACAGACTTCTGGTCAAAATCCATCCTAACTTGCTTCTCTTTCTGAGGGTACTATGGGGCTTTGTGACCTCACTGCTGACCCCAGCCCCACGCCTTCGGTTGCTGGGAGCTCCCTAGGGAAGGACCATTGTCCAGCCCAGAAGGGGCTGGCCCCTCCCCCACCTGCTGGGTGGGTCGCTCTGGTCAGCCTTGGCCAAGAGGATCCATAGCTCATGCAGGAACTGGATGACCCAGCTTCCCATTCTCCCTAACCGTCTCCCTTCTGTCTTCTAGACTATGGGTTCTGCTGGGGGCTCACGTGCTCCCCGGCAGGTCTGAGGGAAGGTGGCAGGACCCCGCCAGCCTTGCCACATCCTCCAGGATACCCAGGTGTGCAGGGAGGGTCGCGAAGGCAAGGGGGTGGGGAGCAAGGGCAGGGGAAGGAGAGCTGTCCAGCTCAGGCCTGGCTCCTGAGCTGTGGCCCTCCCAGGCAGGCTAGGTATGAGGACCTGTCCCCTGCCCAGGACATAGAGGCTAGGAGGCCAGGATGTGTTGCAGATGGACCAAACTGCCTAGCCAAGGCACAAGGGGATAACGTGCATGAGGAAACACGAAGTCCACTGGGCACCAAGACCCTTGCAGAGGGACCCTAGGTTCAGGCTGGGCTAATAACCCCAGCCCTGAACTTAGCCCCATACTCCCAGGCAGGGCCTGGTCGTGAACACCTTACCCACAGAGCCTCTACCTCGACAGTCTCTTCCTTTCTGGGTCCCTCCTGCCCAGCCCTGGCTGGGCACAGTGACACCCTCTGGATGGGGGACTGATGATAGAAATTGAGAAAACACGTCTGATTTGGGTGAGTGGTTCACAACGTTGACCCCTTCCCCCCACCTCGGGTGGTGTAGTGTTCTCTGAGAACCTTGTTGCTGATAGTGGAAATCTGACTGGTATGGAAGGCCTCGTGGCCAGGGAGGTAAGCTCTGTCCCTCCCGTGACAAACAGCACTGTGGCCAGGGCCCTGCACAGGCATCTCTGGCTGCACATCAAGGAACTTCTTGAATGTAGACTTGGAGGGTGAAGCCTGTCTTGTTGGGACTTGATCTGTATTAATAGACTGTGCTCCAGGCATCCCAACACTGCATATTAGTAATTGCTGTTACCAGCATATTTGTGTGTGTGTGTGTGTGTGTGTGTGTGCGCGCACGCGCGTGCGTGCTGCTCCTGGGGCAAGCACTCTGCCTGAGCTCGGTTGCTGAGCTATGCTCAAGGATGGTGCTTTAACACTTAAGCAGCACCTCCACTTCCACCTTTTTGGTGGTTAATTAGAGTCTCACAGACTTTCTTGCCCCAGGCTGTCTTCAAACTGCAATCCTCAGATCTCAGCCTCTTGAGTATCTAGGATTACAGATGGGAGCTCCTGGCACCCAGGTAACAACATTTCTTTTTAAAGAAAAGATTATAGTATTACGCTTTTATGTATGTATTGACTACTTTATTTTGATGCAGGGTCTGGCTGTGTAGCCCAGGCAGGCCGAAAACCTCAAGGTCGTCCTGCGGCGACCTCCCCAGTGACGGGATTATAGGTGTGGTTGCTACCCCCAGACTGTTATCAGAATCTGACCAGCACTTATTTGACTCAGGTTAGACCTTACCTCTATGTGTTTATTGGCCATGGGTTTTTTTTCTTAAGATGTTACCATTTTCACTTTAATATTGGGTGGTTAATTTTTTATGTTTGGTTTCATGATAACATTATCTATTTGTAACACTTGTTGAATTTTCCCAGTTTGTAGTTTGCTTTGGTATCAGTTTTTCATGTACATGTGTGTTCTGATCCTGGGGCTTGAACTCAATGACTGGACATTGTCCCTGAGCTTTTTTGCTCAAGGCTAGAGCTCTACCACTAGACCCACAGCTCCACTTTCAGCCTTTGTGGAGCTTAATTGGAGATAAGAGCCTCACAGCTGGTCTCTATTGGTTCATGCCTGTAATCCTAGCTACTCAGAAGGCTAAGATCTGAGGATCACAGTTCAAAGCCAGCCTGGGCAGGAAAGTCTGTATGATTCTAATCTCCAATTAACTACTAGGAAAAACAAAACAAACAAACAAAAAAGAAGTGGCACTCTGGCTCAAAGCGGTAGAGTGCTAGCCTTGAGCCAAAGAGCTGAGGGACAGCGTCCAGGCCCAGAGTTCAGGACCCACAACTGACCAAAAAAAAAGAGTCTCACAGACTTTCCTGCTCAGGCTGGCTTCCAGCTGCTATCCTCAGATCTCAGCCTCCTGAGCAGCTAGGATTACAGGTACCAGCCACTGGTGTTCAGCTTTAGTACCATTGTTTGTTGTTGTATTGCTTTGTTTTCACATAGTAAAAAATCCAACTGTTTCCTTGATAATTTTTTCCTTTCATTTTTGTGGTTAGAAAGCTCTTCCTGAAACGAAACGCAAAATTAGGATTTAATATAGGAAACAATAACTTGCTCTTGTTGGAAAGTCGACCTAGCCCTCTGTTCAGGACCCCCCAGACTCAGCACTGGGGTGGACCCCAGACACAGCACTGACCTTCCTCTGCAGGGAGACAAGGTGGAACAGACTGTCAACCTGGGGGCTGGGGGGGGGGAGAGGCTGATCCTCAGCTGGGTCCTGGCCTCTGGGGATAGTGATTCTTCCCCAGTCTGTGGTTTTGGCTCTCTGGAGTGGGCCCACTGCCTTGCCTGGACACCTTCCTAGCCGGGCCCCAGTCTGGTCCTGGGTGGCCCCTGTGGCGTGGGGGCACTCACAGGATGGGACTAATGGCTGGCCCACAATTCTGGCCCCTTCACAATGGTTTCCAGGCAACAAGACTCCTCTGGGCAGGCCACTGGACACAGAAGGGGCTGAGTTAGCTAGGCCGTATTCTTGGCAAATGACCGCGACTCAGAAGCATAACCTCTTCACACCAGAACCTCACTACATCCCCGGGTAAGAGCCAGCCCTGCAAGAAGGCTGGGGTAGGAATGCAGGGTGGACAGCAGAAGTGGACTCTCACATGGACTCGAAGGCCAAGGGCCAGTGCTAAAGAGGCTGAGGCAAGGGTCGCCACTCAGTGCAGCTGGGACTGAGGTTCTAGGATGGGAAATGACCACAGGAAAGTTCTGAGGAGAAGGCTACAGAAGGAGGTCTGGGCCTCACACCCTCCCTGCTGGATTCTGATGGACACAAGTGGCCAGCATGTCCATCACAAGCAAAACAGGCAGCCACACAACTGGTACTCATTGGCTAAGTAAAGACCAGCACTCCTCCACACAGAGTGATTTAGGCTGCTCACTAAGAATCCTCCTCCACTTAAAACAAAACTTTATACACATTTATATACACATATAACTTTATATACATATATATACATATTTTTTTGTTGTTGTTGGTCATGGGGCTTGAACTCAGGGCCTGGGCACTGTCCCTCAGCTCTTCAGCTCAAGGTGAGTGCTCTACCACTTGAGCCACAGTGCTACTTCTGGCTTTTTCTGTTTATGTGATGTGGAGGAATCAAATCCAGGGCCTCATGCATGCAAGGCAAGCACGCTACCACTGAGCCATGTTCCCAGCTCTCCCTGAGCTTTGGGCCATGAGCCACTGGAGTCTAGAGTCTTGAAAACTGTTTTGCCAGTTCAGACTGGCCTTGAACTGGTAAATTCTGGCAATTATTATAAAGAAAACTCAGGCCGGATGTAGATCAGTGGTACCACACTTACTTGCCTAGCCTACTTGAGGGCCTGGGTTTGCTCCTCTGCATCGTACACACCAACTTGACCAGGCATGTTAATACACGTCTGTAGTTTAACCAGTTTGGAAGCTGAGGCAGGAGAATGGCTCCTAAGAAGAAAATAAAACCTCTGTGATTGCAGGCCCACAGTAGCACCGAATGCGCGCACGCACAGACACACACACACACACACACACACAAGTAGCCAAAGAACCACTTACCTTCCAAGTTTAGCCCGCCCTCCCTCTCTCAAAACTGGCATGGTAAAGTGCCCACTGGCCTTCTGGGTAGCAGAAGACCCAGCCAAGTCCCAAACCACACCTTCCTGCTGCGTGAGCCCTGAACCAGACCTGGTTAGCCCCCTGGCCAGCCCCAGGCCCTTGCTCCCAGAAGCAGAGCAGGGCTGTCCATTTACTTTGTCATTTGAGTGAGGGTGAAGGAACGTCGGATGGTGGTGAGGACGGTGAGGCTCACACCAGGCCTGGCACATTCTTAGCATTTGGTGTTTGCTACCTTGAACCCCAGAGTGCAGAAGGCAGGTTCGGCCACTGTCCGCATATCACGGGTGAGCTGAGGTCGGGTGTCCTCCCACAATCACACTGAGTGTCAGGCAGGCTGGGCTGGCGGCCTGCTGGTAGCCCTTGTCCAGCCCTGGTGCTGCCCCTGCCTTCTCTCCACAGCTATGCCGGCTTCTACCCTCAATTGCGATACCAGGTGGGGAACACCTATGGCCGCACCACAGCACAGCTGCTCACAGACCCCAGTGTGCAGAAGAGCCCCTGCTCCATACTGTCCCCCATGTCCAAGCCCAAGTTCATTGAGGACGTCAGCAAGCCCAAGGCCCCCTGGGTCCCCTGCCGGGACCTCAACGAGCCCTACGTCCCCCAGTACTCCGGTAAAGGCCAGCCTCCCGCCCTGCCCCCTCCTGGCCTCCCCTTCCACTCCTCATGCTCACCGCTCACTGAGTGCTCTGTCTGAACAGGTCCAAAGCCCTACAGGAACTTAGAGGCCCTGGAGCAGCTCCCAGCCCAGCAGGCAGAAACCCAGGGACAACCAGGGGCGGAGGACATACCTACACAGGCTCCGAGGCCTGCAGGCTTCATGCCCTACCCTCCCTACCCACCCTGCCCGCCAGTCAGGAAGGGAGACTCTGGAGACCTGGGACACCCCGGCCTGAGGCTGGCGTATGGCGAAGAGGCCTGGAAGAGCCCCGTCCCTGTCCACGAAAGCCCAGGGCGGTACCAGGTAACGGGAGATGCAAAGGCACTGGGCCTCACCTTGCCAAGACTCAGGGGGGAGCTGGGCGGTGACTTGCCCCTCCCTTCCAGCTGTGCCACGGTGGGAGGGAGGAGCGCCCCTCCCCCCAGCAGGAGACACTGGACGTGGGGAGGTTCCAGCGATTACCCCAGCTGGACCACTCCAACCTGATCCAGCGAAAGGCCATCTCCGGTGAGTGCTGGTAGCCAGGCCAGCCAGGCCACACCCCACAGGCTCAGGGACCCCCGAAAGGCTCCTAAACCTCTCCTGCCTCACAGCTGTTTGAGTCCAGCTTCTTCCAGGAGATCCCCTCGTCCCATTTAGCCCTAGGAGGCAGTGACCAATTAGGGAAAGCAAAAGAACTGGGCAAGTTCCCACACCAGAAACCAGGATGGTCCCTGACATCTGCCCACCCCCAGGCTACGCTGGCTTCGTCCCCCGCTTTGCCTGGGTGATGGGGACAAATTACCGCGATGGAGTCACACAGGCTATGGACGAGTTTGATAAGAACCAGGTAGGAGAGCACGCCCCCCTCCCCAGCATGCTTGAGGCCAAGCCTCTCAAGGAAAGCCCACAGGTCTGGGGCCCCAGCTCTATTTAGCTGGGGGTCAAGTCCACTCTCTCGGGCTTATCACTTTGCTTGGGGTCATGAGGGGAGGGTGGAGTTCTCACACTGGTCATCTCTCCAGTTCCTCTTCAGAAATCCAGTCTGTGGCCTGGGTGAGAGGCTACCCAGAAACCACTGGCCCAACACTACCATCTACAGAAGCCAGGGACTGATCCCCTTCTACATGGGCTTCATCCCTTGTGAGTACCGCCTTGAGGAGGCCATGGGGGGTGGGGGGAGCTAGGTTAAGGGCTGCCCACATCCTCTCCACCCCGCTAGTCCAGACCTGCCTCAGGGTATGGACTACCAGACAAGCTGAAGACTCCAGGCTGGTGCAGACCCCAAACCCTAGAATCCAGTGTTCAGGCCGCAGTACCCAGCGCGGGGTTTCACGCGGCGGCCCCAGGACCCTGCAGCTCTCTTGTTCCCCTTGCAGCCATGCAGGACAACTACGCACTAACCTTTGGCAACAGCACCCGGAAAGCCTATCAGAAGGAACTGGACCGACAAAGCCACACACTATGAAAATGCTTTAATGGTGTCTGTACAACACATGATGTCAAGACAGGACAGCAAGAACACAGTGGACAGGGCTAGCAGACAGGCTGTGAGTGAATAAAGAGTTCACACTGCTCCCTGGCGTTAGCTGCTGAGCCAGCTCTAGGCTACCTCCTCCTCTGCCTCCTCCTCAAACTCGCCCTCCTCCTCAGCTGTGGCGTCCTGGTACTGCTGGTACTCGGACACCAGGTCATTCATGTTGCTCTCCGCCTCCGTGAACTCCATCTCATCCATGCCCTCACCGGTGTACCAGTGCAGGAAGGCCTTGCGCCGGAACATGGCTGTGAACTGCTCGGAGATGCGTTTGAACAGCTCCTGGATGGCGGTGCTGTTGCCGATGAAGGTGGCAGACATTTTTAGCCCCCGAGGTGGGATGTCACAGACCGCTGTCTTCACGTTGTTGGGGATCCACTCAACAAAGTAGCTGCTGTTCTTGTTCTGCATTTTGAGCATCTGCTCATCCACCTCCTTCATGGACATGCGGCCCCTGAACACTGCAGCCACGGTGAGGTAGCGGCCGTGCCGGGGGTCACAGGCAGCCATCATGTTCTTGGCATCAAACATCTGCTGGGTGAGCTCGGGCACTGAGAGAACATGGTACTGCTGGCTGGCCCGGCTGGTCAAGGGTGCAAAACCAGGCATGAAGAAGTGCAGGCGGGGGAAGGGCACCATGTTCACAGCCAGCTTCCGAAGGTCAGCATTGAGCTGGCCAGGGAATCGAAGGCAGGTCGTGACCCCACTCATGGTAGCAGACACCAAGTGGTTCAGATCACCGTAAGTGGGTGTGGTCAGCTTTAGGGTGCGGAAGCAAATGTCATAGAGGGCTTCGTTATCAATGCAATAGGTCTCATCTGTGTTTTCTACAAGCTGGTGGACTGAGAGGGTGGCATTGTATGGCTCAACCACTGTGTCCGACACTTTGGGGGAGGGCACCACACTGAAGGTGTTCATGATCCTGTCTGGGTACTCCTCCCGGATCTTGCTGATGAGGAGGGTACCCATCCCAGACCCGGTCCCCCCACCCAGGGAGTGGGTCAGCTGGAAACCCTGGAGGCAATCACAGCTCTCTGCCTCCTTCCTCACAACATCCAGCACTGAGTCAACCAGCTCTGCTCCTTCCGTGTAATGCCCCTTGGCCCAGTTGTTCCCGGCACCGCTCTGACCTAGGAGAGAGAGAGAGAGAGAGAGAGAATGAATGTCTGGTCACTGGGCACACACACCCCCCCACAAGATCTGTACAAAGTTCCTTGGGACACTGGCTGAGAGGACACTCCAGAGTAGAGCTAAAAGCCCCAACGTGAGACCACAGCAGCCTGCCCTATCCAAAGGTAAAGCAGAGATCAAAACCAGGACAAGCCCTTCCTGCCCGAGACCGAGGCCCCCCCCCTTCCCCCAGGCAGCCCTGCCAGTTTCCAAGGCCAACAGGCCAGCTCCGCCTACTGCCAAGAGATTACATCTATCCGCTCCTTGCCCATGGGGAGACAGCTGGGTCTCTCACCTAAAGCCTCTTTCGACCGGGAGATTGAGTGACTCAGGACGCAGGAGGGCGTCCACCCACTACCGGATTTTACGAGCTGTGACCTTGGGCAGCCCCTTGACCTTTGAGCCAAGGGGAGTAGTAAACCCCGCCCAGCGCCTACCGAAAACGAAGTTGTCCGGCCTGAAGATCTGCCCAAAGGGCCCCGAGCGCACCGAGTCCATGGTGCCCGGCTCCAGGTCCACTAGGACGGCGCGGGGCACGTACTTGCCACCTGCGGAGAGCA